TTCTTGGTCAAATTAAACCCATGATATGTAAAATTGAAGTTTGAGGTGTCTAGTTTACTGTGTAAAACTTTGAGATCAATTGGTGGAGTGGTTTTCCCGCAATCTTGGAAAGAGTGAGGGCTGTTTGGTACCCTGTTTGAGGTTGGTTGGCAGATTTGCTTCTCCAACTTCAAACGGTGATAACCGAAGCAAACGAGAACTTTTTGGAGCGTGTGATAGCTTGTTGGAAAGATAATTAATTCTAGAATAACATACTAAAAGATGAGAGGTTCGCGACAAGCGTATTTTCTACAGTATCCAAAATACTGAACCATGTTCGAAAGGGTAAAAACCGTAAAAGTGAGATTTATGCTAAGTGGGTTTATGGGAACCCCTTAGTGACTTGAGAGAAGTATTATATGATAGTTAGGAAATTACTATTATTATTCCACATTTAGCTCTCAGTTATGGTCACAGCTTTTATTCATTACGCTTTATTATTGATTTAAATGATCGCGTAATGAAAAGAAAAAAGTTTACTCGCATTTTTATAAATGAACTGCTGTGATTGTAACTGTGCTTAATATCATAATCAATGTTAACAATATCGGTACGTAATGGGCTGTTACACTACCACTTGAGGCTTTTTCCATAGCCACAAGCATTGGTTACACAATTAGTGACTTAGATTCACATTACATGGGTCTACATTGGTTTCTTAAGGGTTCTATACTTTAATTAAGGCTCCACAACTCATTAGAAGTGATTTTAGGTCAAATCTGTCAAGAGTAATGGATTACTACATAAGGAGTAATCGATTACATCTCAAGGAGTAATTGATTACAATAAATTTTCCAGAAAGTAATCTAATACTTCATGATGAAGTAATCGATTACTCCTTCGACAGAATGTAGAAAAATGAGGTTCTTACAGCATAACAGACAACCAATGATTTCCCGAGCTCATTTTTTCTTGTAATCAATATCCCAACATGTTATGAACATATTAACAACTTCAAGACTCCACCTTCAACCTAAATCATGCTATTTATCATGAATCCAAGAAGGAAAGTGGTGGATAGTTACCTTGCAGCTTCCAAAACGGTTAAAGGGAGTGACTTTCTAAGCTCTAACTCAACTCTCTTTCACTGTCCATAGGATGCACGAAAATGACTCCTCCAAAGGGTTGTTCTTTTCCCACAAAGGCAAGTTTCTAAGGGTTAATGATGTGTACGCTTTGGTCTTTATGTGGAGTTTAAAGAAAGAGAGGAAGAAAGATGTTTCCTTTAATGATTTGGTGGTGAGCACACTAACAAGGAGGGAAGAAGACCATGACTGTTGTCTTAGGGTTATGCCCAATAAGGAAAAGCAATTATAAGAGAATGTTGTGTTTTTAGGTTATTTGAACTAAAGCTAAAACACCTAAGTGAGCAAAAACCCTTATTCCCACAATACTTAACTCACCTTCATCCAACACATGTACTATTTAACATATGCATTTTTCTTGTCATTTTAATTTCATAAAATTTATGGGATAATAATCAGTAATCTACTTTTACGCATTTTTACCCTAAAACGACATTGTTCACACTTTTCTCATAAAGGTGATTTAATCTAAATAATTAGAATTATCAATCTTATTAATCTATTTTAATTAGCTATAAATCCCTAGCCTCATAATTTATAAGTTAGGTTCTTACATTCACCCGACCTTTTTAAAATTTTATCCATAAAATTAGAGACATATATGTCTTTAAATTTGGAATACTGTCAGAGAAGCTCGTATTTCCACTCCTAAGTGAACTCCTCAGGCGTCCTATCTTCCCACTGGACCTTGACCATGGTAATAGTCATGTTTCTCAGCTTTTTCTCACTTCTGCCAAGAATCTTGAATGGTCCCACAAGAGTTTTAAGATTCTTATGTTTTTCAACATTATTTGGTTGAACAACATGAGAGGCATCATCTATATATCTCCTAAGTTGAGAAACGTTAAACACATCATGCAGATTGGCCAACTGCGAAGGTAAGGTAAGCCGGTAGGCAACAGGTCCTATCCTACTAATAATCTGGTAGGGCCCAATGAATCTGGGACTCAGCTTCCTCACTCCAAGAGCACGCCCCACACTAGTGACTGACGACAGTCTCACAAAGACATGCTCCCTCTCTTCAAATTCGAGAGGTCAATGCTTGTGATCGTAGTAGCTCTTATGTCGACTTTTTGCTTGCTTCAACTTCTCTTTATCATTTTGATTTGTTTAGTGGTATTTTGAACGAAGTCTAACCCGAATAACTCTTTATCTCCAACCTCAGTCCAGCATGTGAGAGTCTTATACCTTCTACCATACAATGCCTTATAAGGAGCCATGCCCAAGCTAGCATGAAAAATGTTATTATAGAAAAACTCCACCAGTGGAAGGTACCGATCCCATATTGTACCCTACTCCAAAGTGCAAGCTCTCAGCATGTCCTCCAACATCTGAATGGTCCTCTCACTCTGACCATCTGCTCAGTCTCAAATAAGTGACAAAAGCTCTCTACAGTGCATCCCAAAATCGAGATGTGAACTTCAGGACCCAATCATTGATAATTCTCTTAGGCACCCTATGAAGCTTCACAATCTGATGAACATAGAGCTTAGCCAACTTTTCCATAGTAAAGCTCACCTTCACTGCCAGAAAGTGGGCAGACTTAGTCAACCTGTGCACTATGACCTAAATAGAATCAAAAACAGCCTAAGTCTTCGGCAGTCCCCCAACGAAGTCCAAGGAAATAATCTCTCACTTCCTCTGCGGAATATCAAGAGGTTGACGCTTACCAGACAACATCGTCTTCTCGAGGCACTTCTGAAAGTGTTGTTAGTTGCTAGAAAACTCACCGAAATGGTGCTCCGACAGTGGTGAACAGTGGCCGACTATGGTTTTCTGGTGGCGGACAATGGTTTTTCGACGTTCAAGGCTAAGGTCGAGCGGTTGGCAACTCTCCGAGGGTTTGGTATTGAAAATGGGTTGCTAGTGGCTTGCCTGTAGGATGCACGACAAGGTTTTTATATGGATGCAAGATTTATTCAATATATATAAGGGAATATAATATGGGAAGAGTTATATTTACAATTTTTTTGTTTACAAACTACATTTTGTTCTCCCGGAAGAACACTAGGTTACACTATGTTCTTCCGGGAGTACATAGTGTAATTTGTAAAAATTTATAAAAAGAATTTGTAAATAGATACTTCTCAATATAATATATATAGAAACTAGCTTACTTAAAGAAGAAACCCAAAGACAAACTCAAATCCTAATAAAATAAGGAAATTAATATTTACAAATAATATTATAAATATATAATTATTTATAAATATTTTAAAATAATTCTAACTTTGCACGCATCTCAATAGCTAGTCTAATTTGTGCAAATATTTCCAATAAAAATAATAATAATAACCGGTACAAATATCTTTTTCTTAATCAATCTGACCTGCCTATTAAACGCATCCTATTTTTCCTTTTTATTCTTCAATATCAGCCCCTGAACCTGGGGTCAACCTCTTTGTAGTAAACGAGTGATCTCCGTTCGTGATTCAAGTTTGAACCTCAAGTGTAAGACCTACGCATTGAATTAAAAAATACGTCAATATTAAAATGGTAGACACGCCAATTGCACCGTTGAACAGCATGGCACACGCATTCGCGTTATCAACATTCCCTTTGTACAATAATCTATTCAGCATTTTCTTTACCTATTTTGTCTGCTTAAATTAAAAAAACTTAATTATATTAATTCCAGTCACATATTTTCACTCAATTACTTCACCGACTTCTTAATTTTTAATTTCACTTGACTACATGTCATTTTAATTAATTTGAGTGGCTGAATTATGTACTTCTTGTCTATGTTACACTAACACCAATATGGAATATGACAACACGTCGACATATTAATTTTAAAAAATGTCAGTATTTAATATGTTATGACATGTTTTAATATTAAAAAATATTTTCAGTAGAGAGAAGTTATACTTACAACTTATTTTCGTTTACAACCTCTTATAACCATATCTTAACCGTTAATTTTCGTTAATCAACGGTTATCATTTATTGCAAATTAATAATTAATTAATAAATTTTATTTGCGAAAATCTTAACCGTTAATTGACGAAAATCAACGGTTAAGATATGAGTTGTAAAAAATTGTAAACAAAAATACGTTGTAAGTATAATCTCCCCCTTAATACACATAACAACAGCCCATAATAAATCATATAATCAATAAAATACTCAAATTTCATAACATAAATATAAAATAAAAATAATTTTTCATACTTTTTTAATTTTTCATATCAAATTTTATAACAAAAAATATTTGATTTATAAATTAATTTTTCATATTTAATTAAAAGAATAAAATAAAATAAAATTTGGATCTAAACAATAAAAATATATTAGAAAACATTTATAGCGTGTCAAAACGCATCATGTCGAAAACACATGTCAAAATATTGACAGCATATCGCAAAAAACTGATCTCATATCGAAGCATGTCGATATTCAACACATGTCCAACACATTTTTCATTCGAGAGAACATCTTCGTGCTTCCCAGCTTCTCGTGTGGCCCAGGGCCTTCAACTATTAAAACTTTTGCAAGACGCACAATAATGCCACATATGCACAAATAGACAACAGGTTGATTTTCTTTCAAAGGATAACAAAAGAAACATCTTCACTTTTCATAGACATGGACACATGAAATCCCTGTGTGGCTCACCAATCGAAGAAAAACCCAGAAAATAAGGATCCAAGAAAAGTATATAAATGAAAGATAAAAGAATAACAAAAAAAAAAACAGATTGCAGAGAATCCCCGGTTCTAATTATGCATTTAATATGTTCCCAAAATATAAAAAAGTCATGAAATGAAAAATGGAAAAGAGATAATTTTTCACCATATCTCGTATCTGTCAAGGGGATTTTATTCTGACAAAACAGTAACAAAATCTGTGGGTATAAACCTACCAAAACCCAACACCAACCAACCATACTAGTTTCCATGCAATGGCACAAAACATCACATACAAACTTCATCAAAGACCCTTTCCTACTTTACCCCTTAAAACAGCTAAACTGTAAACACAATAACCCCATATAATCAATCAAGCACTTTCAGTGCCGGTTCCAGTGCCATCATTGGTAGGAGTAAGGGTGGTAGTTGAGTTTTCACACTGCTTGATTGAAACCTCTTCAGAAACTTTTGCTGGGTATTTTATAGCATTGAGTTCAACCTTTCTCAAAGCAGCTTTACCAAGATCAACACCACAGATGTCAGAGAGCCTAACAAGGTAAAGCAAGACATCAGAAAGCTCTTCCCCAAGATGAACTTTTTCCTCTTCTTTCCAATCTGGAATTCCCTTTGGAACCTCACCTTTCCACTGAAATATCTCAGACAATTCTCCCACTTCTGCCACCTACAGAATCACAAAATTAAAAAAAATAATACTTTATTTTATAGACTTATAGCAGCTTGAGCATAACATAATTTTGACCCACTTCTGCATTCAAGGAGTGAAAATAAGATAAATAAGAGAAGACAAGGGGAAACCAAAAGGAGGGGAAATTTTACATGTCTTGTATGATAACAACAAAATGGGATCTGTTTGCATTGGGAAATCGACTTTGACTGAGGTTGGACAAAGTTGGTAAAATCTCAAAAATAAACCATGGCCAATATGAATAATGAACAGTCATAGGATTTAAGAAAGTTTAAAGCTTTTTTTTAAAACAAAAAAAGGAGCCAACTTGCAAGGAAAAGGCTTAAAAAAAACACTCAGAATATGTGTCAATCCCACTCATATCATATGTACCTCAGTTAAGTCAATCTTCATAACCCATTAAGAAAATGGATTAAATTAAAATAACAACTCAACAAAAGTGATTCTTCTTCCCCTATACCATCTCTTTTTTAATGGATCATAAAAGAAACAACACAACCCTCAACAAAAATTACACACAAAAAAAACTCAAATGGGTAATCCTCAAGAATTACATAACAAACAAATAAAGTTCATAAGGGTGCAACCAGAACCAAAAAACACAAAAAATAAAAAATAAAAAAGAAAAACCATTTTTTTAATGAGGTATTGGAAAAGAAGCATACCAAAGCCAAGAGAAGGTTCCTTGGGCTATGAAACTGGTCCCAGTCCCTCTCCTTGGCAAACTGAGCCATTATCTGCTTGAGCATATCAAGGGTAACAGAGCGCCCTTCAGAAACCCCAGTCATCTTGAAGAGAAAACTTAAAGAATAGAGAACAAACAAAGAAAACCCAAGAGAGAAGAGAAGAGAAATATTAGGTAATGAGAGAGGGAAACATGTTTCTGGAGAAGGATCACAATGAGTTATTTATATAGAAAATGAAATAAAAATAATAATATATAGAAAGAAGAAAAGGTTAATGAAGGGGTGCTTGCTTCTGCACAGTCGTTTTCGGAACTTGGAATTGGAAGGTAGCCCGCGTCGTTTCTTTTGTTTTGTTTTATATACAAGAGAGTGGAAAAAGTGTCACTCATCTTAAATAACATAACAGAAAGTTATCTTATTTTAAAAGAGATACAAATACATAAAATTTAAATTTTAAATTAAAAAAAATTACTCACTTTCTCTCTCTCTCAAGATTTTCATTTTTTTGTGTTTATCTCTCTCCTAAAATGACTTAACTTATGTCATGTAAAATGACAAACACCAAATCCAAGAAAAAGTTATACTTATTACTTTTTACTATTAAATTTTAATTATTAATTTTCGTTAATTTAACAGTTATAATTTATGAGATCATATTTATTAATTAATTATAATTTTTAAAAAATTATAATCATTATATTAACGAAAATCAACGATTAAGATTTAATAATAAGAAAAAATGAATAATAAATATAACTTTTTTCTTTATCTATTTATTTTTTGAATTTCTGAAACATAAAAAATAGAATAAACACTATTTTTGGTCCCTAACAAAAAAATACGGTCCTCACTTTAGTCTCTTACAAAAATAAATTAGTCAGTTAGTCACTAAAAATTTTAAATTGGACCCATTTTAGTTCTTTTGAGGGACTAATATGGGTCTTTTTTGAATTTGTGAGGAATCACGATTTCAACTAAATGGGTCCACTTTGAATTTGTTAGGGACTAATTGACTAATTTATTTTTGTAATGAACTAAAGTGGAGACTGTATTTTTTGTCAAGGACCAAAAAAAATATTTACTCAAAAAAAATATTCGCTAGAGGAGACTGAAATCCGTGACTGGGCCCACCCACGAGATAACCGGCTATTATCTGTTATTTAATGAAGTAACCTAAGTAGTTAAGTGCATGATTGGTTTTCAATTCAAATCAAACCTTTTATCTAAATTATTGTTTTCACTGCACCAAATTTTTTTATTGTTTTCAGATTTTAAAGGAAAAACAAATAAATCAGATTTAAAAAAACAAAACTAATTTTTAAAAAATATTAAAAATAATTTTTCATAATAAGATAAAGGAATGAATCTTCTCACATTACATTAATTCAAGTGAAAGGATTCGGCCCTTAAATATAAATTAACAGTAATAAAATAATATATTAAGATAAAGAACAAAAAAATTAGCATATTTGAAGATTCATTCTATTTTTATTTATATTTTATAGATGAATATATCATGTGTACAATATAATTGTCGTGAAATAGTACATTCTCTCGCACTAGCCACGTGACAGTAGACAGTAGTTAAATAATTTCTTTATGTATATGAATGTTGTCATTCAACATTTATCCTTGTAATATTTACCCGTAGAAATAATGTTTTTTACTTATCGCACAGGATTGTCTCATTGTGATAAATTTATTTTTTATATTTTTTTAAAATTAATATTTTTAATTATAATTAAATTATTTTCATTAATTTAAATGACACTAAAAGATACTGAAAAAGTAAAGACGAAACCAAAAATGTTAAAATTAAATAAATAATTTAAGACAATTCAGATTTTCTTTTATTGTAACAAGTGGTATTTGAGTTAATTTAGGTATACCTCCGTAAATTTATTTTCTGAACTCATTTGGTGGACATGATATGATTCGAGAAATGTATAAGAGTAACATAAGATATAAGTCATATTATATCATATGTTTGATGTGCACTAAATAAGCAGTCTGATAGGATAATATTATCCCACCTGTTGTATAATAACTCAAATAATTAAATTAATGGAATTGGATATTAATGCTTAATTACAGGGTTAATTGAGTGAAAACCCTGAATTACAGGTAAAATTCCCACCAGGGATGAAATGATAATTTGACAAAACTGCCTTATTTTGAGCTAATTCTATAAAGTACACTCCACTTAAGCCCATAATATTTTAGAATCAAATTAGAATGAGGTTAATTAGGTGAGAAATCTAATTATACGAATAAAATTACTTTTTGGACAAAAGTACAATTAATGAAGGTTCCGGGTAAAATGCAACTATGCGAAAGTTATCCGAAATTTTAAAATACTGTAGTGTGATACTATTAAATAATCTTGGTGAATGTTAAAATAAATGTTAGATAACTTAAATCATGGATTGGAGGAGAATTAGTGGGGTTTCATTAAGGGTAAATTGGTCATTTCACATAAAATGGGTTGACCAAAGTCATAAGTGACCAAGACACATCATTTTCCCTCACCATTCTTTCTCATTTTCGTGAAACAGCCCCTCCCTTATCCGGAAAACCAAAACTGACCCTTCCCTTTTCATGTTTGAAATTTCTCAAGCTCACAACTTCTTGAACACTCCTCCAATGCAAAATCCCTATTAGATAAAAGTTGTTCCTTTGGCCTATTCTAAATGAACCCAACCATCTTTAGCACTTGGAAAGAATTGTGAGTGAAGGAATCCTCTCCTCTCTCCTGCGCCATTTTGGATATTCCAAGGTGGAGGAGGTTTTACTTTCTTCCCAGGTTAGGAAAGCTTCCCATTGGTAATTCTAAGCAAATTAGAGGTAAGAAACTCAAGTTTCCACGGATGTTTTTGGTGATTTAAATCGAGGGTTCATGACATGAATAGTGAGCAATATGTGTAATGACGTGAATTAGGCTTAGTTCCTCTAGAAAAGTATGATTAGAAGGTGTTTGTGATGATGAATCAATCATAAAAATTAGCATACATACAATTCAAAATTTAGGTCTTGGAAAATGTGTGTGTTTGAAGGGGGTTTGATTGGTTGAGGGTGTTGTGAGGTAAATGGGCTTTGGTTCCTTCACTAAATATGTTAGGAATATTGTCTTAGCCAAGAAAATGCATTGAAATCACAACATTTATCATTTTTGAAAATTAGAATAAAAATCAAGTGTCTCTTGTATATGTGTAGTCTTGGAAATGAATATGATTGGTGATATTTGTGCTTGTTTGAATTGGTAGTGGTGAGCCAAGTGAAGTGATGATAGAAGAACTTCCATTAGAACCACCAAGTGACCAAGTTTAGGTTCTTGAATTTCCAAGAATTTGGTAAGTCGTCAATCTAAACCTTGTTAAAAATTAGAAGTTTGGACATATTATATGCTTATATGAGTGTATATATATTGATGATGGAATTATATCATTTAAACAGGTGATATTGGTTGAGGGATTGTTGATTGATTGCTTAGACAAGGAAAATGCTATAACACCTAGCTTCAAGAGGGAGGCTTTCGGACCTTGGATTTTATTTCCTGTTTGTTCCACTATACTCCGAGGGAGTAGTGATTTCATACTGGTGTATATAATTGCATTAAGATTTGATGTAATGCATGTTATGTTTGGATGCTTGTATCCTATTTAAGGTGGAATGCCTTGTTGAGATTTAAGGTCAGTTGGTTTGCTTGGCACATAAGTATTTTGTTGCTTTGCTTTGCTTTGATACACTTGTGTTACGTTGGATTGATGCATAAGAGTTGAGTTGCATAATGGTGTGATGCTTCATATATGATGTATATTTGATTGCATCCCTTCCTAGGAGATTGTATATATTTATATATTATGCTTAAAAGGGGTGATCCCATTGGGACTTTTTCGGAAGTGCTTTGGAAAGAGAATCCCACTCTTGCAAAGCATAGTATGGACTTCTCTTAGTACCAAAGTTATGTGGATGCAATACTGAGTGGGTAAGTCCTAAGGAAAGATGCCCTATGTTGGAAGAAATTTTCTTGGAAGTACTATATGAGCATTCTAGTGATGTTTGTGAGTCCAATAAAATGGCTTGATTGAGATTGATTTATACATTGCATTGATATATACATTGCATTGATATATATATATATATATATATATATATATATATATATATATATGAGTATTTGCTTTGTGTGCCACATAAGATTGACAATTCCTTGTGTGAGGCATGCCTTGTGGTGTGCTTAGGGGTGTAAATGGGTTGGACTGGGCCGGGCTTTGGCCTTCCTGGCTCAAGCCTACGTCACAAAAAATTCAGCCTATCTGGCCTACTGGCCTATTAAAGGCTTTATTTGTAGGCCAAGCCCGACCTATTTTTAAAAATAAGAAAGCCTGACATGGCCTACAGGCCTTGTAGGCCTCCCACTGTAGATACTAAGCAAAAAAAATAATTGTATAGAGCAAAGAAAGTTTCATTCATGCATGCACTAGTACTTCTCATAAGAAAAAAATGACAAACAAAAAAGAGTCAACATAATACCCCAGCTCTAGAATGTATATTATAGAGGAATAGAGTCAAATAAATGGGAAAAATAAGAAAAATACAATTACTGGATGCTGAAATAAAGTCTACAAGAGAATATCATTCATCTAAAAATCTTTAAACCACCATCAAGACAAGGGAAAAAAGAGTATTATTGAAAGATCTTCATCAGTAACATCATAATCCAGCAAGGTACCCATTGCTCCATGGTATTAAGCTGCAACATCATGTAAAATTTGGAGACATTAGACAAGTTTTCCTTTCATAAAATAAAATAGTACAAAAAGTAAGAGATATTGGTATTTGGTACTTTGCCACATAAAATAAATATTATTTTATTTTAATAAATTAAATAGGCCAGCCTACAAGGCTGTAGGCCGGGCTTGACAAAATTGGCCTACTGTTAATAAATCTTTTTTATAAGCCTGAGCCTACTCTACTTTTCTAAAAGGTCGGGCCTGGGCCGAGCTCAATGTAGGCCAGGCCGTAGGTGGGCTGGGCCAGCCTGACCCATTTACACCCCTAGCTGCATGCCTTGGGGTATGTTGTATAAAATAGATTTTCTT